CCCATTTCCACCACCAAAATCAACAATAGAACCCAATCCGTCCAAAACAGAATCCAAGCCTTTGATCAGTGCCATTTTCAAGAATCTAGAATCACTAGCCATTGCTTCTTGGAAGGCTGCCAATTCTGCCGGGTTTTGCTTAAGAAAGTCAGAAGGGCTGATACCAGATATTGTCTCTCTGACTGAATTTTCCTTCTGATGAACCCATTTCCCCAAGTGATTATACAAATAAATCATAGTAGGGTTTACTACCAGTTGAACCATTGGAGATAAACAATGATCTGTGCCACTCACAAGAAGTTTTAATGCAGAAGTGAGATCATATGCCACTTCACTTTCTTCTTCTTCATTGTTGTTTCTTTTGATGATAGTGAAGAGGCCATTGTGAGCTAGCAACTGCATGAGCCCTTTCACAAAGGTAGCTTTAGAGGGTGGAAGTTTGAGGGTTGATACCAACTGAGAAAGAGGGATGGGTTGGCCATGTTTGTAGATTATTTTTGGTATTTCAAGCTCAATGGCACATTTTAGACATAAAGAGGGTATCCAAAGATACATGACCTTATACAGTTGGGCTTGGCCATGAAACATCTCAGTGATTTTGTTTTCAGTTTCATCCATATGGATGGAGAGAACGTTGGAATTGCCTAATGAATTGTTGTGTCTTCCTTCGTATCCAATGTGGTGAACTATTTATAGATATACATTTAAGTTCTTTAGTTGTAGGGAATCATCCTTTTTACCAATTGTGAAACGCCTCTAAACTTTTCTTGGAATTAAACATTTTCGTCTTATCTTTTTATAAACTAAAGAAAGTATTCATGTAATTAATTGTTAGATATGATTTAGGGATGAGTTGTCTTTTGATTCACTTTATTGTTTGGAATTATGCTTTTGCCAATCATAAAAGATGAATCTAAGCTTTTGTTCTTGCAACGAGACATTAGCCTCTGGTCTCTTTACAAGTTGAAAAAAAAGTGTTCATTCACTAAATGTGGATCCTTTTAATGAAAACATCGATAAAGTATCTTTGAAAGAGAAAACAAGCTGTTGCTACTCCATCTTATCCTTACTATAAGCCATTCTCAACAAATTTTCATATATCAAGGGATAGCAGATAAAGTGTTAAATTTTTCCTAAAATGTTATTTTTTCTTTTTTAGTTTACTCGCAACTTAAATGACGTAGATAGTGAAACACGAAGTTTGAGGATTTTATTAACACTAAACCATAATTAATAAGACAAAATTGAAAAGTAGTAATTAATGAGTTAGTTGATGACTTATATTTAAAATAAAAATTGCTTTAAAAAATGCTTTATATCACTCCCTCTTTACCATGCCCTCAATCTTGCCGCCTTGATAAAGGCAAAGTCGCCAACCTCTTCTTTGCACATCTGAATCAAGCACAACGTACAACATCTCGGCTTCTTTCTCATCTTCATTGATCCTGCCTCATCATCATCGCAACATGAGAGGAGGATGGGTCTCCTTGACATAGGATTCTTCCACCTCATATCCTTTGTACTTTCCTTTGACTAGAGGCTTCTCACTACAAAGAAAACATGTGATTACCGACGGAATTTAGCAATGAAATTTTTATTTAGCAATGAATTATCAATGGCGACAAATCATTGACAAAAAAATTTCAATCACCAAAGTTTGCGATGCTAACTGAATAATTAATTAGAAATTAGCAATGAAATAATTTTTCAGCAGTACTAGGTTTTTTTTTGGTAGTGTTTGCTTTGTTCAAATTTTATAAGTATTTTTACATCTTTATTCTTTATTATGCAAGTATTATTGTGATTGTAAAATAAGTCATCTTTCTATGTTTTTTTATTCATTTAAACATATTCTCTACACTTTTTCTTTCTCTTTTCTTTGTCATCTCATTTTCTTTTTGTCCCGATTTTATCTCCTCATCCTACAAAACATAATAGGAAAAAGATGGATCATGATCCAAAGCCCTGTTCTCCAATAAACTATCGTTACAATGGGAGAATAGAGAGCCAATACTTTTGTGGAAGGATTGGACAATTATGGCCAGGTGGATGATGAATTATTGAGCCTTATTTTGCCTTTGTACGCTCTCTGATAGTTGAACTGTATTATGGATGAGCGATTGATTTGATTGCCTTTGTTTTTCTTTTTTTCATTTCATTATATTATGGTTAGAATATGTAATATTCATGAAATAACATTTGTTGTTGGAAAAAACTTTTTAGTTTTTATTAAACTTGAGTGTTCTGCAGGAAATTATATTTAACAACTCAATTGGATATTTCACACAAGTTTTTATGCATTAAGATTATACGAATTAAATCGTTGAATATATATAATTTTTGTTAGGAATTAAATTTAAGGAGAGTCATCAACAAAAGATGTTACCAGAATCTGCTTGGACATTTTGAGAGAAAATAGATAAAAGAATTAAGAGCAGAAATGTAATCAGCCGTATTTAAAAATGTTAAAAAGTCATGTTTCTCTAAAGATGATAGCTTTTTCGTATCAAAAGGTACAGTATGATAATAAATAATATTATTCTGGTTCTTAATATATAACTCAGTTGACTAATCTGAAAAAATAAAAAAAATTAGTAAATTACTTAATTAGAGTATATGTTACATAATCTCTTTAAAACAATTAAGTGTATCATTATATTATATATTAATTTATAAATGAGGCAAATTAGTTGGAGAAAAATGATAAATATAAGTAGTTTAAAATAATTTGATAATTTTTTTAATTTTTTAAAATTAGTTAACTGGATTTTATATTGAAGATAAGAGATAGTAGCTTAACACTGTGTTTGGTATGCGATTTTCAGGAAAGAGGGGAGGGGAGGAAAGTGGTCCTCTTTCCTCGTTTGGCTAGAACATTTTCAATAGAGGGAAAGGAGCTGTTCCCATCCCCTCGTTTGGTTGGAACAATTTTTGAGGAGGGGAGGGGCTTCCATTCTCTCCTTTCTCTCTCTTGGTATCCTTTTCAAAAGTGGGTTTTTTCAGAAGAGAGATGAAAGAGAAAATATTTAATTTCATAACCAGCCCTAGTAAAATAATATAATTTTTCTTTCATCCTCTTTTTGACCCTTTAATTTCATTCTACAGTTTTCTCTCAATCTTACAATTTTAATAGCTCTAATCAACTCAACTTCATTCTCCCCTTATATTCAACAATTCAACTAGAAAAATTAAACTATTCAAAATTTGTTTAAAAAAAATGAAATGATAAAAATCATTGGGACAAAAAAAGAATCAATGAAGAATTATAATATTTTTGAAAAAGTCAATATAGAGTACAAATGAGGTCTTATAATTAAGACCAAATGTAGTATTAACTTAAGCTAGATACTAAGCAATTTTTAATCTTTTAATTAGTTAAAATTTAAAAATAAGGAAATAAAAGATAATAAATGTAATTTTCCTTTTGAACCCAATAGAATCAACGAATAGCATTGCGGAAAGAAATTTGATTTTAATTTTTTTTTTTGTTTTTCTCAATGAGTTGTGCTTCTGGCAAAAGCACAACCTAGTCTCTTTTTTTTAAGTTGATAAATTACCTCACGCATATTGATAAAATAAAAAAATAAAAACATTTATTTAAATTTTATACGAGTGAAGTAGTTAATTTTTGAATAGCTCATGTCCTTCCCCTCTTATGTCAAATAAGATATCATTAAAATGTCTCAGCTTCCTTCCCTCCAATCAATCTAAACAAAGGATTATTAAAATTTCTCCCCTCTCCTCTCCTTCCTTCCCCTCCCCTCTATATCTCTCCCCCCTTCCCCTGCCCTCTCCTTTCCTCCATTGAAATCCTTCTCCTCTCTTTTCCTTTGTCGAACCAAACACAGCATAAAGGTGTATGGAGAATTGATTATTTGTCAAAAAAATTATATTGCCAAATGTATAAATATTTTATACGCAAGGAACTGAATACGTGAAATTATCACGGAGGTTCATCGTCCTTTTATGCAAAAAATAAATAAGGTAGCCAATAGGGGGATTGGATTTAATAGAAGATATTAGTCCTTTATAATATGACAAACTAAGATTTGGGATAGGGAGAAGTACCCATATTAGTGCTTGATATTGGTTCAAATAGGATTGCCTCCGATAGAAAGATACTTATACTTAGGAAAAAAAAATGTATGAAGACTACATAGCTCGTATTAGATATTAGACCTGGAAGTGGTAAATTGTTATAAGCAAGCTAAGTGACAGTTTTATTATTTAACACTAAGATTACAATTATTTATATATTTATAACTGTCAGTTTCGGTGCTGTAGTTAACGCCAGGGCAATTCAATTTCCAAACATTATTTTCTTTTGCAAAGAAGGATGAAGAGCCTTCATAATAATTTCTTCTATTTTAGGTGTTTGAGAATTAAAAAAAAATGCAAAATTTGTCCACGGTCATAATTTTTTTCCTTTTCTTCTTAGTAGATCATATGTTCCAAAATTGTATTCACACGCTTCAACAAATGTTTGAAAAGTTTATATACACCTTTCCAAAAAAGTTTATTAGTTTAAAAATAAGTGGAAAGTGCTAATTTTTTATTGAAAAAATGTATTATTCTAATATTTTTTAAGGAAAATAAGTGAAAATTTTCTGCTTAAAAATTTTATTAGTTAGAAGAACTTGGTATGTTTTTATATATAGAAAGTATGGATATCCTGTAAAATTTCATACACGAGCATCAATACTCAAGTTCAGATCATTCTCATTAACAAAAAATTTTAAGTAGGGATTTTTGACTTGTTTTTCCCATTCTTTGATGTTGAAGACAATGGGAACACTCGTAATATTTTGTTTTAATCAAAGTGAGCACTCATAATTGATGTAAGCTATAAAACAAAACAAAAAAAAATGATGTGAGCTTTCCAAATCATATGGATATTGAGATCCGAGTCTGGGTCCCATACCTCACAGGCATAACAGTATTTTTGCCATTCTCCATATCTCCATCTAAATTCATCTTAGCTTCTCATTACTATCATAGACTCATTATTTGCAGTTTTAGTATCAAGTTTCTCTTATCATGAAGCTTTCACTCCTCCCCATCCTTGCACTTCTCACGGTGAGCTTCGACTTACTTTCACAATATGGATCCCAAAACTTCATGTGTTTCTGTTAGTGCATCCTTCTCTTCTTTCTTTCTTTTTCTTGGACTAATGAAACTATATTCTGGATGTGTATTTGTATATTATCTATGAAATCTCAGGTTGCCCATGCTGCCATGCCTCCTGAACTTTACTGGAAGTCCATGCTTCCCAATACTCCCATGCCCAAATCTATCTCAGATGTCCTCCACTCATCAGCTGGTTAGTATTGTAGCTCTGCCTCATGGCTCTTTCTTTTACTGCAGTTGAAAAAGATTCTCCGCACCGGTTTTATAAAAAGTTTCACACCTTATTTATGAAAATGCTATCCGCCACACTTTTTTACACCATCATCCCAATAGTCGGTACTGTTTCTGTCCTTAATATAGAATCTAATTGGAGAATTAATATTGATCCTATATGCAAAACCTATTTCACATATTTATCACTTTTTTTTTTTAAAATTAACCCCATTGATTTTTTTTAAAACAATAATCAAGTAGGAGAGAAAGAGAAGAAATTAAAGGAGAAACTCAGGGTATTTTAGAAGAAACATATCATATTAACTAATTTAACTAATATTCTTAATTTACTCAAGTTAATTAGGTCTTGTATTGAGTAGTACAATAGTCTTGCTGTAGAAATACTATTTTGCCACTGGCATTGTAGAGTTAGTGGCTTGAGCACTCCCTGTAAATGCGTTTAATCCTGCTGGTAACCGTAGTATATTACTGCCTCTCTAATTAAGAAATACTATCTTGCACTTGTGTGGCAAACTCAAAGTTCACATTATATATCTAAGTGTCTTTGATGTGCTAATTATAGGTGGGCACACTACAATGCACGCCAAGTATGATCATTATATGTCAGCTGCATTTCAACAGTATGCTGGAGGTGTATTCATTATTTATGACGAGCCTGAGACCCAACTCCAACATAACCCCTACGCGTCTCTCATCTTTCTGGAAAAAGACTTGAAGCCTGCTCACAAAATGAACTTGTTCTTCACCAACACTTCTAACCAAGCCTGCGTCCTGCCTCGTGAAGTCGTGAAATCCATTCCCTTCTCTTCTAGCAAGGTAATTGTAAGGTTTTAATTTAGGTGTACTTTGAATTCTAGTGACTGATTGAAATGTCCACACGAATCTGAATCACGCACTGGACTATCATTAATTATATCACACCCCAAATGCACATGAAGAAGAGAATACAGAGTTAAGAAAGACGGAAAAAAACAAGTATGAGGGGAGATGTTGGGTTACTCTATCAAGCAAAACAATACATTAAGAACAGATTGTCTATAGAAACCATAGAGGCTTAAACCACTTTTAATAAATCCCTCAAAGCAAAGGAAAGCCCAGTAGGAACAGCAAGACTAATGTGTTCTGTCTGAATCCAAGGGTCAGCACAAGCTTCGAAACCAATAAATATAAGATTCCTTCAATAACATATCATGCCCATCATTTAGAGTTTAAGGACTACATGTCTTTTATAAGGCTACCTCAATTACATACATATTCTAGTAGCTACAAGCATGATAGAGTTTTCATAAATCAACTAAAAAGGTGTGGTGCAGAAGTAGCTTATTATATAAAAGCTCAAGTAAAATAACAATTGACTAAATAAAATTAATAATGGTAGTATCATTACTCAAATGAAGTACATACATTTTCCACAAAGCTCTAATGCTAGATCTTTGGCTGATTCACCATCAAGATAATATATTGAACCAATCAAATTGCTGAACTTATTAACACCTTCTGGGACAATCCGAACCTGCATATGACCACATAGATATTCAGAAAATTGGTAGAAGTTCACAAAGAAATGTAATTTTAGAGAAGCAGGTCACTCACAATTCCAAAAAAATAAAAGTCATTTGTGATTTTTAATAGAAGGTGAAGTAGATGGATATTTAGCACGGGGTATATTAGCTATATCGATCAGCAGTCACTAGATCCATTTGACTAAAAATGTATTAACAGGGACTTGTGCATCGCGGTATTTGATATGAAAATTAGGTATCTCTACATCAATTTTCTAACAAAAGCTTCAAATACAAATATAATAATAAGCATTGATAAAGTGTAGGATAATTAAAGCCAAATAGTTGTTATCACTTTACATTATGTCCCTTCGTTGAACTGTGATCGAAACCTTATATATTATACCTACAAATTAGAAGAAAGAAAGAAAATATGTTATACATTAGCAACATGTTTATTTGTCATCATGACTAAGTGGCCTATCCTTGCATAGAGAAAAGAGTCAAACTTGGCCATTTGCTCCAGTACATTCAGTATCCATAGCATCACAAGTGGTGCCACTAATGGGGCTACCTATTGTTCCTTCCTCACCAATTAATGCCTTCCAAATACTATTTTTCTACAATTGATATTGTAGGAACATAATTTTCTTCATCAAGATTCTCTGATTCCTATAGATAGCATTGATGATAAATAATCAGTTAAAAATAACCCCTTGAATGGATGTATAGTACCTACTTTTGGGCATAATAAACTTAATCTATCTTGCATCTAAACATATGCTTAAGGTATTGATATCCTGTCCTACTTACCAACTCCACCTATCACTATTTTTTTTTTCAACGTTAATAATATAGCAACAATAAAGATATACTTACCTTGATGCACCCTTCCTCTCTGAATTTATAATTCCTAAGAACCTTTAGTTCAAATCCATTAAGGCTAGCTTATGAGGCGTGGGACGGACCTAGGTAATGGTATGGGGGTAAAATTTGAAATACAGCACAATAATGTGATGTAATAATCAAAAGTCACTACCACAGAGATTCCTTCAAATTTTTATTTTTATTAAAAAAAAAATTTCTTATTTATCTATGATGGCAGTGTGGCACCTTTTTTGGAATTAATGATCCTAACTAAACAAAAAATATTACTTCACTTAAGTATAATTAAAAAACTGCCAACGTTCATCCTTAAAAGAGATAATTTTTTTTTAAAATTTAACAGCCACCATATATTGAAGAAATAGCTCACGTTCAAAATTACTTGAAATTAGGAAATTAAAAATAAATTTGTAACATGATATCTGCATATTTTTTACATATAAAAATTCATTATATTTATTTTTGAGAAAAGCCTGTCACGTGGCATAATGTTAACATGTTTTGGTCAAAAAACTATCTACGTTCACTCCTAAAACGGATGATACTTTAATTTATTACCTAGCATATATTCAAAAAGCTACACACATTCAAAATTACTTGTAATCATAAATTAGAAAAAAAAATCTGAAACATGCATAACGGTTATATAAATCGTGCCCACATTTATTATGAAACTATCCACCCACATTTCATAGTGCATGATCCAAAACATGGGAATTAAATAGCTCACGTTCAAAATTACTTGAAATCAGGAAATTAAAAATAAATTTGTAACATGATATCTGCATTTTTTTACATATAAAAATTCATTATATTTATTTTTGAGAAAAGCCTATCACGTGGCATAATGTTAACATGTTTTGGTCAAAAAACTCTCCACGTTCACTCCTAAAACGGATGGTATTTTAATTTATTACCTAGCATATATTCAAAAAACTACACACATTCAAAATTACTTGTAATCATAAATTAGAAAAAAAATCTGAAACATGGGATCTTTTTTTTTCGTGTCATGCATGACAGTTCTATAAATCGTGCCCACATTTATTATGAAACTATCCACCCACATTTCATGGCATAATGGGGTGTGGCCTTTTTTTTTTTAAAGAAAAGAAAAAAAAAACATTTATCTTATCATTGGTGATGCCACTTGTCATGCTGTCATGTACTCATGCCTTGTACTCTACTTTTATATATTAATAGATTTCATCCTTCCTCTATAATTCTGGAAATGTAAAATAAACTCAGAAATTAATCCATCACATTTTATGTGGATTTTTCTTATCCAATACCAATAGCTTCCTTGACCCCTAAAATAATTTTCATAAAAATTCCGGGTCAAATAATCATCTCATAGTTATTTTCCCTGAATTTTCTAAAAAAAAATAGTTCTTAATTTCAAAAATTAATCCTTAATTCATTTTAAGGATTTTATGCCTCCAATACCTTCTTTACTATCTCAAATATTATCTTAAAATTTTCAGATTAAATATAAGTCTCTAAGTATTTTCCACAATTTTCTGAGAAAATAAACCATTTTTCTCTTAAAATTATCTATTAAAATTATTTAAGCCACTTTTGGGGAAATACATTTTCTAAAATATTTCTAAACCCTGAAAATCAATATTTGTTAATTTTTCCAATTTTATTTAGCCATTAAATAATTTTAATAAATTTTTTCTTTTCTGTTCATCTTGAGAAAATTCGGGATGTTACATTTATTAGCTTCAAATATGGGAAGAGATGTGGTCCATTTTATAAGTTAAAATTTGGGTTTTTGCAGGTATTTAATGCATTTTTTTTCAATTTTATCCTTAATTATCTATTTTCTCTCCTTTGCCCCTCTCTCTCATTACATTTTCTTCTATCATTTTTCTCATTTATTTAAAGGGCATATTTGGGAACAAAATATTTCTTACCTCTTTATAACTTTGAACTAATTTTAACTGATATTTCTTTATACACAAATTAGTTACTTGAAGTTTATGATAAAAGCCATAAGAAGTTTATAATAAAAACCATAAAGAGTATAAATTTAAGATTCAAAGTAGATTGATGTGTTGCATTTAGGATTTAAAGCAAACTATCTTACACTAGTTCTTACATTTGGACCAAAGGGAGTATACGTATATGTGTAAGTATCTCATGTAACTTATGTGTTTATGATTCGATAAGCAGATGGATGAAATATTGGGAAAGTTTTCTGTGAAAGCTGGGTCCACAGAAGCTGAGATGATGAAGAATATAATTAAAGAGTGTGAAGAGTCAGGGCTTAAAGGAGAGGAGAAGTACTGTGCGACGTCGTTGGAATCCATGGTTGATTTTATCACTTCCAAGCTTGGGAGACACGTGGAAGCTTTATCTACAGAAGTGATGAAGAAGAAAGAAACAAAGAAGCAAGAATACAGAATAATGCATGGAGTGAAGAGGGTAGGAGAAGCGAATCTAGTGGTGAGCCACAAGCTCAGTTATGTGTATGCCGTCTTTTACTGTCACAAAATGGAGAGTACAAGAGCCTATACGGTGCCGTTGCAGGGCGAAGATGGGAGCAGAGTGAAGGCAGTGGCTGTATGTCACACAGACACATCAGAATGGAACCCAAAACATTTGGCCTTCCAAGTGCTCAAAGTGAAGCCAGGGAGTGTTCCTGTCTGTCACTTCCTTGCTCAAGAAACTGTTCTGTGGGTCCCAAAACAAACGCCTAATTAGCATCCATCTCACTGATGCTCCTTTCGCTTCTACGTATCCAAGGAATCTCTCGGGAGGTGCTCTTCGTTTTGTTTTGTTTTGTTTTGTTTTGGTTTTTTTTTTTAATAAGACATTTGATAACTTCAGAGAGTATTATTACCGATCTGAACTGCTCAGATTAGATGTGGACACTCCAAGTTTACTATTTTTTATGAAGACTGAGACACTGAATATAAGGGAGTTAAAGAACCACGGACAACAAGGAGAAGCAAATTTCACTATGAGAAATAAAGCTTAGAATAATCGTCTCATTTATATGAAGACTGAGACACTGAATTGATATACACAGAGTTCTAAAAAAAAAAAATGAACATAGCTGATAAATAACACCTCTCCTAAAATCTCAATTATAAATGTGATCTAGATATAGATTTTATACCTATAATATCCACTAAAATCTCAATCACAATGGGCCATGCGAATTTGAGGCAAAACCTATCTGAACTCCCCCTCTTGTGTGCGAGGCTAGGCTAGGCTCTATGTGAGTGATAGACTCCTCTTCTTCAACAATGAACTGATCAGCATTATTTCTACTGCTACATCTTTCATCATAATGGCACTTTACTACCAGAAAGAGTTAATAAGTGAGTAGGTTGCATCAAGAAGTCATCCTGTGATGAGAACTTATTCATGTTAGAGGATGTATGACAATTAAAGAGATGTCAAATTGTTTATATATATCCATTATGTCAAGTTCACACGTAAATTCATTACAAATGTACATATGTGTTGTAAAAGATGAATTTATAAGAACTGAAAGACACATTTAGAAGTACATATACGTATTTTAACATCTAACAATAATAAAATAACAAGACACATATCTTACACATAATATTTATGTATATGTATGCGTGCGGGGGCCAAAAATTCATGTGTATCTTAATAAAGGTTTTGATGTTTCAAGTACCTCTCAATGACTGGTTCAGCTAATTGGACTTGGAATTCCTAACCCTATTATAGCCTAAACGGTAAAAGAGAAAGAATTACAATGAAGTCCCAAAAAGAAAAAATAATTACTAAAAAGTCTTAATAACAATCTAAGTTAAGTTTTAGAGTAGAGAATGACAATTTATAAGACTTGTTTTGTAATTATATTTCTTCCTTAGGACCTCATTATAATTCTCCTTAAGAAAGCATTTTCTAATTTTTTTTGAGAAATACAAGAATAATCAAGCAAGGACAACAAGCATACAATCATCACTCTTGTTGCTACACTAGCACGACCTTCATTGTATTTTTTAATAATAAAATCTTTATATATTGGTCACAAAGTTATATAATATTTATATTTTTCTTTATTCATTATTGTCTTTGGTTTTCTATCTCTTATCTCTTTCCTATTTTCTTATTATTATTTCATTTGAAATTTATTTTTGGGAAAATTGGGGATAAATCCCTTATTAGAAATTTAATTGGCAAATGGGATGATTGATTGCATAAGGGAAGATTAGTTGCACATAAAGAAAGATAAGTTATACAAAGGGAAGAGAGTTTGCACAGAACATTATTTTTTTTTTTTGGTGAAAACACATAACATTATTTGGATATAAGGAATTAGTTTGTACATAGGGAAGATGACTTGCATATAAGAGAGTTTTATTTGCACAAAGGGAAATTGAGTTGCACATAGTACAAAAGAAGATCATTGCACACAAGGAAAGATAAATTGCACACAAAGGAAGATAAGTTGCACAAAATAGAAGTTAAGTTGCACAAAATTCTTAGGTTCTATTTCCCAATTAAATTTTCAATAGGGGTTTATCCCCAATTTTCCCTTTATTTTTTGGTTTTAATTTTGTGTTTTACTAAGGGAATTACTTTTTTTTTTTATCGTTTTTGCAAGAAAAATTTGTTTTTATCTCATGTGATATATGTGTGTATATTATATTCCTTTCATCGTAAGGAGTAGTTCATAAAATATCATTTCTTATATAGCATTTTAATGACATAAGAAATGCCGTTAGGACCAGTTATCAGCATTTCTTACAAAATAGTTTAGCATTTCTTTTTCTAAGTTTGAAATCACATACATATGATTTGGTGAATATGACCAATCTCTCTTCTCTTACCTTTTCATTATACAAATTCCCTTTGATCAATGGCTCTTGTAGAAATATTCAGAGGGAATAAGCTTCATTTTCGTCTTGCTTACTATTTGTTCCTATTTATTCTTCTTGCAAATAAAATGAAAATTGAAGAGTAAAATGGAAATTATAAACAAAGAACAAATAATGTCCGCATAATTTATTCATAATAACGTTCAATCTCAATAATTGTTCTTGAGGACTTTGATCCCTTCATTAAAAAAAAAAAAAGTGTGCACTGATCGAGTCATATAAATAATCAATTTCATTATTTGGTTGCCAGTTGTTTATAATTCTCCCATTGGAGAACCTCTGAATGTACAAACAAATAATGAATTGTGGTCTTGGGATGATCAATTATTATGCCCATTTGTTTTTACTCTTTCAATAATTTAATTGTGTCGTTGCAGTGTGGCCATAGGAAATTTCTTTGAAGTTGTCACTTGTCAGCCGTCATTACAGTGTACAGTATGAAGAACTTTCAAAACAGAGAAAAATGCATTGTTACTGCAACACCCCCCCAAAAAAAAAACTTTTGAGAAATTTTATTGGCCATGCACTGCAATATCCAGAATTAGATGTGATGGGCAGACTTTTTAGCTTGTTCTTAATAATTGAGGTCCTAGACAATAATTATGTGACGAAATTCCTAAACGATATCTCATAATATTTTTAAGAGTTATTTTATCTGAAGAACTTCTGTATTTGGGGTCCAACTCATGCGCCTTGATTAATTAGCTCATCTAATTTGTAGCTTTATACTTGATTAATTAGTTCATCTAATTTGTAGCTTTATACACAAGGTTCTTTAAGTGTTCTTTCAAATCTTACGTAAGCAAAGCAAAATTGCAGAAATACCACAGCTCCTATTTCTTTTATATGAACCTATGTCCTCACCTTATATGATGCATAAGGGAACTGAAGTTATGTAGCCATCAAGTGAACTCTTTGGAAGTGATGTACTTCCTTTTTTTTCGATATATATAACAAATGATTGTGTTTTCCTTGTAGGATGCAATCATACCAGAGAACTTCGTAGTAAAGCATATTTGGCCGAAAATACTATTATGATGACTTATTTTCATAGATATATAGAGGGCTATGCTGTAGATAATGAAAATTGCAGAAATATCTATGCTGTAGATAATGAAAATTGCAGAAATATCATGGCTCCTCTTATTCCACTCCAAATTTATTCAGGTTAATACTTCCTCCGCTTCTTTTTATAAGAGCCTAAAATTTGAATTACCTTTGTCCTTTTTTATAAAAATCCGAGTTGTGGTTGTTTGAACTTTAATGTATTTTTACTATTTTTTTTCCAAATCAATTTTATATATTGCATTAATTAAAAGGCTGGTAACTTAGCATGTACTACATTCTCTTTCTTATTAATTAAAAAAATTGTGTTTAGACATTATTGTCTACCGTGATAGAAGAAGAGGAAGAATGAATTGAGCTTTTTGCGTAAAACAGGCATGCAGGGCTTTGTTAACGGGATGGCACGTTAGCCTGGCCCCTCTATTTCTATACATGCCATTAAATTTGAATGTGTACTTTAAAAAATATTAAAGCCTATAAAAGACTGACGAATAAAATATTGTCATAAGTCATTCCTTGTTAAAAGCTTGATATATTTCCTTCACCAAAAAAAAAAGAAAAACGCTTGATATATTTCCCTACACTACTCGCACTTTGACTTTTCCACACCACTGCTATATTTTTTTCCCCACAACGTCACATCACTTTTCCTTCATTTCCTTTGCTTCAGATATCTTCCTTGGAATTCCAGGTAAAAAAAAAAAAAGAATCTTTCCTGGAATTTTTAATTACTCCTCTAGCCCATAATATAAAACATTGGTAAGAAGAAAATTATTATCCAAATAAAAAACGTTATTAGGATAACTACTATTATTTTTTGTTTTCATCCCTATTAAATATAGGAGAGAGATGAAAGATAATAAAAATATTACATTCAATGTAAGGAAAAATCCCAAAAAAAACCCTTGGAATATAGGAAATTTCTAATTGGGTCCTAGAATTGTATAAATTACAAAAAGGATCAATGACCCAATCTGTCATCTGTAAAATCAAGAAGAATTGACAATTTTGCCCTCATTTGTATCTATTCATTATAATGATTTAGACGTTACCTAGATTCGTGTAAATAATAACTACTCACTTTTTCGTAGTCAGGAATGTCCCATGAGAAGGTGCCTTGTTATTAACTAAAACTAATCATGTAATCATGAGAATAGTGTAAGCGTTACCTAGATTTATTTAGAGAATAACTACTCACTTTTGCTTAGTCAGACATGTGAAGGTGTCTTGTTATTAATTACAACAAATTATGTAATTACTAGAACAGTATAAGTGTTACTTAGATTCGTTTAGAAAATAATTACTCCCTTTTGCTTAGCTAGGGCAAAGTTATCAATTTCTCTTGATTTTACAAATGACAGATTGGTCATTGACTCTTTCTGTCATTTACACAATTTCAGGATCTAATCAGGAATTTCTTATATTCCAAGAGCTTTTTTTGGGATTTTCTCTAAATGTAACTTCATCATTTTTGTAAAGGTAGAATAGGAAAAATTTATCATTTTTTGGTAAATGTTAGGACACATTTAATGACCAAAACTTTCATTTCTTAGTATGTGAGAAAAGTTAACCAACTTCTAGTTTTTTTTGGTGAAAACCAACTTCTAGTTTTTTTGTGAAAACCAACTTCTTATATTTTGAACAGGATGGAATATCTTCATGATGCATTGATCATCACCGGTAGGTAAATGGACCGTGGAGAGAACAAGAAAACATAGCAATCTTAGGAGAAATTTTGAAATGGTCCCTCTTAATGAAACATATTTTGCTATGTGTTTGGATTTGAGTTGGGATATTGAGTCCGGTTGTGAGCGATTTTGAGTATAGTTATTATCACGCTACTCCGTCCGATTCTTAATATAAGCTTCAAATAACTAATTCATGGATAGTGAACCATTAGTTAAAAATAATAAATATGTTGAAAATATAATTTTGTTTCCAAATATTTTGTTACTAGTATTTCTCTTTCTTATTTGCTCTCTTATTAAATAAGGATACCCATAAA